GACTACACTGCCTACGCCGAGCTGCTCGCCCAGTGGAAGGGCATCAATTCCATACCCATCCTGCTGGCGCCCCCCCCCCGCCAGGAATAAGCATGAATGGAGCATGAGACGCAACAGCAATAACATGTTGAGACACCATCTGAGGAGGAGGAGGAGGAGGAGGAGGAGGAGGAGGAGGAGGGGGAGGGGGAGGAAACGAACATCACTATGTGAAGCAGTGTAATTGGAGGAGAAGCATCATGAGCAGAGGAGGACGGACGAGGGCATTGGGAGGAGATGAGGCGGTGGAGGGATGGAGCGGAGCAGGATTAGAACGAGGACGAGGATGAGAGGGAGGAGGAGAACGGCAAGGGCGGAACAAGCAAAAGCAGAAAACGCATAGGGGGAAGAGGAGGACGCCGTTGACCTGCACAGCCCCAATGGCGGCCTGTAACGTTTTCAGCGAGGGGCTGGGGCTTGACCTGCCCGCAGAAGTTCGCAGGGGGGGCCTGACCAAGCGGGCACCAGGCTAGTGTGTTTGATTTCATACGCGACCCCAGACAGGGTGTGTTCCAGCATTCTGTGGTGCAATATATGTGGTGTGATCTATGTTGTGCAACCCATGGGGTGCACTATAGGTGGTGCAATCTATATAGAGCGCTACAGGTGTGGCGAAATCTGTGCACTGCAATATACGCGGGGCAACCACGGACGGCGACGAGGCTGCGAGGAGGCGGCGACGGCGCTGACATGGCCGCCAAACCGTCTTTCAGGCCCACATGCCGAGTCGCTAAGAGGCTACAACAACAACATAGCCGCCACACCGCCATTCAGGGCCAGTTCCGTAAACACTGTTTGGGGACTGTATCTCTCTCTCTCTCTTTCTCTTTTTTATGTGTTTCTGGCTCTCTCTCTCTCTGTTTCTTTTTTTACCAACCATCCTGTGGTGTTGGGTTCTCGTTTTGAAGAGACGGTCCCCGCGTTCTCTCTCTTCTCTCCTCTTCTTCCCCCTCCTCCTCCACCGTCCGCATGCGTCCCGCACACCCAGTACAGCGTTTCGTGGCCCTCCTCCCACTCATCCCTGCGTTTCACCCACCAGTTAACAGCGCTTCGTGGCCCCAAGGGAACCCCCCCGAAGGGTCCCAGAGCTACCGTTCGATGCGTCCCGCACACCCAATACAGCGCTCGTGGCCCCATTAGGGAGCCCCACCGAAGGTCCAAGTGCTACCGTCGCATGCGTCTCCGCACACCAGTACAGCGATTCGTAGGGCCCTCCTCCCCCCTTCCTGCGTTTCACCACCCAGTACAGCGTTTCGTGGCCCCATAGGGGGCCCCACCAAAGGTCCCATGCTACGTCCGCATGCGTTCCCGCACACCCAGTTACAGGCGTGTCCGTGACCATGTAGGGAGCCCCACCGAAGGGCCACAGTGCTACCGCCCAGTGCTACGTCCGCATGCGTCCGAACGAGCACAGTACGCGTTTCGTAGCACTCCGCCCCCTTTTTTTTTCTTCCCTGCGTTTCACCCACCCAGTACAGCGTTTCGAGGCCCCATAGGGAGGCCCCACGAAGGTCCCCCCCCAGCCGCCCAGCCCAGCCAGTTCCCCCATATCTACCCATCCCCAAGCCTACAGTGCTACCGTCCGCGTGCGCCCGGCACGCCCAGTACAGCGTTTCGTGGTCATATAGGGAGCCCCACCGAAGGTCCCAGCGCTACCGTCCGCATGCGTCCCGCACACCCAGTGCAGCGTTTCGTGGCCCCATAGGGAGCTCCACCGAAGGCCCCAGTGCCCCCGTCCGCATGCGTCCCGGAAGCCCAATTTGGCATTTTCACTTACCCAGTGCAGCGTTTCGTGGCCCCATAGGGGGCTCCGCCCAAGGCCCCAGTGCCACCGTCCGCATGCGTCCGGGAAATGTAATTTGGTATTTTCACCCGCGCAGTGCAGCGTGTTTCGTGGCCCCATAAGGGGGCTCCACCGAAGCCCCCAGTGGGACCGTCCGCATGCGTCCCGGAAACCCAATTTGGCATTTTCACTCACTCAGTAGAGCGCTTCGTGGCCTCATAGGGAGCTCCACCGAAGCCCTCAGTGGGACCGTCCGCATGCGTCCCGGAAACCCAATTCGGCACACCACCCACACAGTACAGCGTTCCCCCCCGCCCAGTGCAGCGCTTTGTGGCCCCATAGGGAGCTTCACGGAAGCAGATAGTCACAATTTCGGTACCCACAGCTGCATATGGTTGGGACCTTCGCCAGGATAATTTCTCTCTTTTGTTTTTGTTTGTTCTCTCTCTCTCTCTATATATATATATGTGCACGTATGTATGTTTGCATAAATATATTATGTGGAGGGAGGCCTGGGGGCCCCGGGGAGCCCTGATTCCAGTACCCGATCTCTGGCCCCCTCTCTGGGCGGCTCTTGGCTCTCCCGGGTACGTGCGGCAGGTTTTCAGCTTGCTCCCGGGCGTCCCGAGGTCGCCGAAACATTGTTCCAAGACGCCCAGGATGGCCGCGGCCGCTTCTTGGACTCCAGCTGCCGCTGACCAAACCGTGTGTTTGATGCGTGCTTCGGCACGGACCAGTGTTGGTTCACCACCCACCAAACCACCTCAACCCAACCCGAAGGCCTCAATTTGCCAACTATTTCCAGTGGGGGGGGGGGTCGGGGAACATTGAAAAAACACATGGAACCCGTACCCCCCCCCCCAACCCGAAATTCGGGCGAAATTCAGGTCTTCGGGTTGGGTTGGGGTGGTTTGGTAGCTAGTCAGTTGGGGGCGCGGCGGGCGCAAGTACAAGTGTCGTCTGGATTCGCGAGCGAGGCCCACGCGGTCGAACGTTTGGCGCGGCGGCTGTTGATCTGGAAGTGGGCGTCCTTGTGCATGGGGCGTGGTGGAGTCGGTCGGGTGTGATGGAGAGAGCATCGGAGAAAACATTGCAAGGCAAGGGAGGGGAGAGGGCAGGCGGGTCAGCGGAGAAGGCAAGGCAACGACAGGGAGGGAGGGGACGGGATACAAGTAGCTGGCAGGGTGACAATCGAGCGGAGGGGAGGGGAAAGGTATGGAGAGGAGCGAGCGAGATGGACCCACAACGACGATCCGTTCTGCTTTTTGGGCATGGGGCCCCCGTGCCGACCCGCGACCCCCGACCCCGCACCCGTCGTTTTCCCTTTTTCGGGGCAGTTGTTGGTGTCCCCGGGGCCCAGGCATGTTTCCAGGCCCCGAAGTGTGACAAAGCCGGCCGTTTCGAATTGTTCGAGCGAGCCGCCGTACGTCAGGGGGGGATACCGTCAAAACCAGTTTGTTGATGCACGTTGTGTTTTTGTCGCGCACCCTTGCATCCCTCGGTGCTCAGGCATCCTCTGTATGTTTTGTTGTTTCCCTCTGCCCATCGGGCGGGGCTAGGACGAGGATAAATCCGTTCCAGGGCGTTGTGGAAAGCTCTCAGAGCGACCCTGTACGCTCTGAGAAGGCCGCGGCGGCTGAGACATCCTCCAGAGCCGCCAGATCTGAGATATTCCTGGCATCCTGGCGCGTTCTAGGTGCCCCAGGTCCGTACGTTCAACTCGTACGAGCGGCCTCGCCTGTACAGGCACGGGACCAGGGGCAACGCGACAAGGGGGGTGGGGCAGGTTGTAATTGGGGGTGAGCTGAACGGGGGGTGAAAAAATTTGGCCCTAAAGGGCCATGACGACCCCTGCTGGCTCCAACGAGGCCTTGAAGGGCCCCTTCAGGGACTTTGTCTTAACCCTCCATGTATCTGCGCCACCTCAACATACTAACTAATACTATATGTACGTCACCCCCCAGGGGCGACGCGCGCATCGAGAAATCTGATGTATCTGCGTCGTGGCGGGCGCTTTCTTGCCACACCGCTCGGGAACTGATGTACGTCAAGATGGGTATACTCTATGTTCGGGTCGGACGCGCGCCTCCAAGGAGGATACATGTGTATATATATATATATATATATATATATATATATATATATATATATATATATATACGTACATATATATATACATCTATCGATGTGTATATATATGTATATGTTACACCTGAGAAAACCCAAACAGTGGATGATTTGACAATTGATACTATGGATCTTGAGATCGATAATGAGATCGATAATGGGATCAGGACGATTCTAAAGTCGATCGTGAGACCGAGAATGACATCGATTCAATAGGATCGATAGTGAGATCGGTCGCGAGATCGCTCATGCGATCTCTAGTGATGTCGATAGTGAGATCGAATGTGAGATCGATGGTGAGATCGATAGAGAAGTGGGTAATGAGACCGATGGTGAGACCGATCGATAAGAAGAACGACCAGGAACCCGGGAACCCGGGATCCTCGCCGCCCTCCGAAATCGGCCCGGAACCCAGAACCGGGAACCCGGGAACCTGGAATTGGGAACCCGGGAACCCGCAAACGCAGTGTGTGTGTGTGTGTGACCAAAATCGGTGGGATTTGTTTGTTAAATGTTTCAACTTCCGCGAGGACCCCTTCAGTGCAAGCACTGATTGGGGAATCTATACATATATATATAATGTGTATATATATATGTATATATATGTGGTTCGTACTGGTATGTCTCTGTGCGTCCCAGGTCTAGGTCACCCCCGTTACCACAAGCCCGAATGAATGGGCGGGGTAGCGCAGCGGTGGGAACCAACGACCCCCCCCAAAGCGCCCACTCGCCGATCCCTGGGTGCCCAAGCGCGCCCCGGGAGCGCGGGCCTCCGCCGTGAAAGTTTCGTGCCGGTGCCCATGGCCCTAAGTCGGGCCTGTCCCTCTACAGGGGAATATGCAAAAATAGTCCATCAATAGTCTGGGGACGATTTTTCTCTACCAGTTTCGAGTCTTTTCGTTGTTTTTTGTTGACTGTTTTTAATTTGTTGACCAAAATCCTCCTGTAGGGGGACAGGCCCGACCTAAACCCAGGGCCTGCCCCCCCCCCCGGCGCTCCAGAGGACCCCGAGAACAACTTCCGCATCACGCTCCGCGAGCTCAAGCGGGAGATCGTGGGCCCGCCGCGGGATCCCCCGAACCGGGGGGGGGGGGCGTCGATCTGCGCCGGACCTCCTCCCTTCGGGACGATCGGTCAGCCCTGTCCCTCTACGGGGCAAGATCCAAAAATAGTCAAACAATAGTCGGAGGATTATGATCTTTTTAGCAATTCTGACTATTGCGAAGGCCTGACGGCCGGTGCCGCCGACCCTGTTCGCAATGCGCAGCAAGAGATTACGAGGTTGCTCAAGGTCGGCTTGGCTGGAGCCCAGGGGAAGAGGAGTCCCAGGGGGTGGCGTCGTATCTGACCCGGGGGGGGGGTCGCTACCCCCCCCCCCCTCCCGGCGGGGGAGGGATCAAAGGGAAGGGGCTTCCCTTCGACTCAATTACGAGGTTGCTCAAGGTCGGCTTGGCTGGAGCCCAGGGGAAGAGGAGTCCCAGGGGGGGCGTCGTATCTGACCCGGGGGGGGGGTCGACACCCCCCCCCCCCTCCCGGCGGGGGAGGGATCAAAGGGAAGGGGCTTCCCTTCGACTCAATTACGAGGTTGCTCAAGGTCGGCTTGGTGGAGCCCAGGGGGAAGAGGAGTCCCAGGGGGGGGGCGTCGTATCTGACCCAGGGGGGGGGGGGTCGACACCCCCCCCCCTCCCGGCGGGGGAGGGATCAAAGGGAAGGGGCTTCCCTTCGACTCAATTACGAGGTTGCTCAAGGTCGGCTTGGCTGGAGCCCAGGGGAAGAGGAGTCCCAGGGGGGGGCGTCGTATCTGACCCGGGGGGGGGTCGCTACCCCCCCCCCCTCCCGGCGGGGGAGGGATCAAAGGGAAGGGGCTTCCCTTCGACTCAATTACGAGGTTGCTCAAGGTCGGCTTGGCTGGAGCCCAGGGGAAGAGGTCTCCCAGGGAAAGGGAAGGACAGAGACGACGAGTACAAAGAATGACGGAGATGACGGCTCGAACGGAAAAGCCCTTCACACACGCCGACAGGGTCGGCGGATTTGTCATTTTTCGTCCAAAACCCGCCTGTAGGGGGACGCCCGACCTAATACAAAGACCGACACCATTTCCTGTTCATTTTGAACAGGATTCATTGTCGGCGCCGTCGCGGACTGTCCATCTGAGACAGAAGGCCGCCTGCCCCCAACAGCGGCCGCTGTTCGTTTGTGACAACAATTGTTCTGGGCATGGTGCCCAGTTTCTCCGTACCCATTTTCGGGCGTCCAAATCCCTCGCCTTCGGAGGGCAGGGCGTAGTGGAGGGGAGCCCTTCGGGCCGTATCTAGTGTTTCCGGTCCTGGGTCGGGAGTCGGGAGCGCAGTCGGCGTGATGCGATGGCAAAAACCTTCTAGGGTTTTCGCTAATCCTGAGACTACGATGCTGGCTTTGCCGTTGGAATTAATTTGTGCCGATGTTCTGTCGATCGATTTATGCCGATCATCGAGCGATGTCGATCGATCGCTGTCGACCATACACCGTGCTCGACCAATTGATCCCGCTCGTTTTCGCACTCGCCGCAAATCATCTCAAACATTGTCGTGCTCGTCGCAAACGATCATATGCGCGTTTTTCGCAAAAGGATCTCGACTCAATTCGCTTTCGTCGCCGATGGTCTCGACGTTTTTTGCGTTTCGCCGCAGATGATCTCGAAATGTTCGTGTTCGCCGCAGGTGATCTCGACCTTGTTCGCGCTCGCCGCCAATGATCTCGATCGTTCTCGCTCTCGTTCTGCGCGATCTCCAACAAACCCGCGCTCATCTCACGCGATCTCGATTGTCTCGCGTTCGTCCGACCACGGCTCCAAGTTCACACGCGCACGCAACTGAATCGCCAACATCGCATTATCCATTATCCTGGCGAGAGACCCAATTATATATTATATAGCAGTCGTGGGTGACGCAGTTGCGAATATCGAATATCGTTTGCGCTGGAGCCCCCCATGGGGCTACGAAGCTCGTGTGAGGAGTATGCCGAAATTGGTGCGGGGCCGTCATGCGAACGCTGCCACTGGGGCCTTCGTTAGAGGGTAGAGGGTAGAGTATACGAGTATACTGTATACTGTGCATTATGGGGCTATGGGCTATGGGCTATGGGGCCACGAAGCGTCAGAACGTGTAAAGGGTGTGCCGAAATTCGTGCGGGGCCGCTACGCGGACGCTGCCATCGTCGTCGTCGTCGTCGTCGCCGTCGCCGTCGTCGTCGCGTCGTCGTCGTCGTCGTCTTCGCTCCCTTGCGCTGCTTCAGGCGCCAGGGGGTCCCCCCAGAGGGCCGAAGACGACGACGACGACGACGACGACGAAGGCGACGGCGATGACGATGGCGACGGCGGCGGCGGCGGATCTCATCCGTCCTCAACCCTCAACCCCGAACTTCACGATTGCCTATGTCCTATGTATGGCTGCTGCTCCTCCGCATCCTCCTTGACGCCGCTCGTTTGGCTCTTCTTCCTCGGGGGGGGGGCGGCCTGCCCGGATGCCGTGGCGCTCGGATTTCTCCGAGGAGGAGGACCTCCACGGGGAAGAGGTGGGGGTGGCACAGAACGCCCCCCCCTCCCCAGAGCCCAGAGGAAGAGGAGGATAATGAGGAGGAGGAGGAAGAGGAGGAGGAGGAGGAGGAGGAGGAGGAGGAGGAGGAGGAGGAGCAGGAGGAGAAGCGGGAGGAGGAGGAGGAGGAGGAGGAGGAGGAGGGCACCGAGGAAGGGCCCCAAGGAGGAGAAGGAGAAGAAGGAGGAACAAGAGGCAAGAGAAAGAGGGCGAGAGTTCTGGGTTTCCTAGGTCGGCGAGGCTGCGGCAGCCGATCCAGAGTTGGCATCGGCATCGAGAGCCGATCCAGAGTTGGCATCGGCATCGGGGGCCCATCCAGAGTTGGCATCAGCATCGAGAGCCGATCAAGAGTTGGCATCAGCATCGAGAGCCGATCAAGAGTTGGCATCAGCATCGGGAGCCGATGCAGAGTTGGCATCGGCATCGAGAGCCGATCAAGAAGATGACCGGCCAATTCGTCGACAGCGAGGGCGCCAACCCGGTCAGAGAGTCGGCCCATACAACACAGCCCGCCGGAGACAAATGTTGTTGACACTAGGCATGGCCCCTGCAGCTGGTCCAGAAGCTCCCGCCCCCCGCCCACGACCACGACCAGGTACGAGGAAACGAGATTCATCAGGCCGTTATGTTCTCCAGCACGTTACCATTGCCGACAGTTTGCCTCTGGTCGCTCGTGTGGACCTTGAGTTGGTGCGAGCTGCCATTACCCTGAAGAAGATTGATTTTCCCCCATCAAGCATTTTCGATCTCGCTGAGAAGGTCGACGCTGAGGCAGGGGCGGCTGTGGCAAGAAGTGCGACACGCGACAGCATGTTCAAGATCGCTTCGCACCTCCTCGACCCTGAGTGTAAGAATCGCGCCAAGGACTGGCAGATCAATTTTACTGCTGCAATGATGTACCTGGATGTGAATCGCCAAACTGTCAAACGCACCAGGAAGGTCACGGCTGGGTCCCTTGCCCTGTGTAGTTTCCGTGACCAAGAGCAGACTTTGTACGAAGTGTTCGCTGCGATTGATGCCGGCGCCCTCCGCCCAGTGTTCTATATCGAGCGTTTGATGTACGACGAGACGCCTCTCAAAACACGGGTGCAGGATTCTTCCGGCGTGGCGAAACTCCTCCAGAGCGAGTTTGAGTGGGCCATTTGTTTGCAGGACGTGACCACAGGAGCCCACATGGTTTCACAGAGTTGGCGGCCGACGTGGGTCCAAGCAGTTGATCGAAACACTGCTGAGTGCCTCCTCGCGGCAACCACATCAATACAACATCGGCATCCCATGGTGGACCAAATATTCAAGGACACGCCCAAGCTGCTACTCGCAACGACCGACGATTACACTGGCAACGACCGCTGCGAGAGAGCACGTTCGCTCGCGCATCCAGACTGGGTTACCTCGAGGCTTCCTTGTTTGGCTCACAAGTCCGTCACCGTCGGCGCCAAGACGAACTCCTTGGTCATGGACGACGTAACTGGTCTTACCAATTCTTGACGCTTCGCGTATCCGACGTCGACGCATCACGTATCCCCACCAGCCACCAGCCACCAGCCACCAGCCCAGAGAAGATGCTTAGCGCTTAGCCGCTTAGCCCTTAGCCCTTAGCCCTTAGGCGAGGGGTTGGCTTGACCAGGGAAGCGTAGCGCGTAGCAGCATGCAGTGAGGCAGCATGCTGCGCAACGAAAAGGGCCCCGAAAGGGGCCCAAGGGCCAAAGGCCAAGGGGGCTCAAGATTGCCACGCGGGAGTTCCACGAGGGGCCCATGAGGGCCCCAAGAAGGCTCCAGGAGGGGCCCGACGGGTGTAGGGTGTAGGGTGTAGGTTGTAGGTGTGCAGGTGTTTAGGTTTAAGTGTTTAAGTGTGTAAGGGTTAAGTTTAAGGTTTCAGGGGCCCGAGAAGGCTCCAAGAGGGGCCCACGATAGCCCCAAGAGGGAAGGGGGCAAGCATATAATGCACCAGCCGGAGCCCACAAGTGCATGATTGCTGGGGCCCTCCTGTGTCCTGGGGCTTTCTTGGGCTCTCCCGGGGCCGTCTTGGGGCCCAGGGCCCTCCTGGGCCGTCGTGCGGCCCCCTTGGGGCTCAGGGCCTAGGGCCTAGGGCCTAGGGCCTAGGGCCTATGACCAGTACCGAGAGGGCCCCAAGATGGCCCCAAGAGGGGCCCAGGGCCCAGGAGTCAGCTGGCACATGACTGCCAGGGCCTCCTGGGAGAATGAGCTCCCAAAATCACTTCGCGCCCTAGGCCCTAGAGCCTAGAGGGCCTGTGAGATTTCCTGCTGTCGTTGATGCACGTCGGCCAGATGCAGTCTTTCAAAGTCGAGCTAGAGAATGTCATATCAGATAAGTTGGACATCATGTATGCGGACCATGCCCTGGTTTTGAGCGACGAAGCGGTGGCGTACAAGAGGTCATTATTGTCGGCATTCTGTTCAGGGTCTGCACTTGGGCCTGATGCGACGCACCTACAGTGGAAGAGAAAGGTGATTCACTTGAGCCT